GTCACGCAAGCTGGGTCGGCTCTGCCGTGAACCGGGGATCAGGCTGGAGCGGTGCTCTCGACGTGAGTCTTTTAGGATCAACAACGCTTATGCACTTCTGACTTCATCTCCTCCCTTAGGTGCCACTCACGTTGGACACCATCTACACCCTCGCGGCGTCCTTCATTGAGTCGTGCCCGTCGACCAACCCTGCGCTCCCCGTCAAGGCTTTCCCCGCCGTTAGCTTCGGCTCCCACCCCAAGCCAGGTGAAACCGTCTCAGTCACCTTCAAGTCTACCGTGGATGCATCCACACCTTTGTACGCCGTGTTCTTCACCGGCCTTTCGCAGGTGGCCGTAGCAATTAAGGATGGCAAGGTCACCATTCCCAGCGATTTGCGCGGCACGGTCTATGCTGTCGTCAGCACCAGCAGCGGCTCTGTTAGCGACCCGGACATCGTTGCGGGCCCTGCCATACTGGCCATTGACTTCAACTCCGAGGGCCAACTCGTCAAATAATCAAACATGCAGCACCATCATTTCGAGTCCCCACTTTCGTTATATTTCTCACAGTCGTTACGTCGCCTTAGGATCTATACCAATGCTTCTATACCCAATGAAAACACATTTCTTCACATCTATCCATTCACTTTCCTTGCCAAAGGATAAGCACAAGACACAGCTCCATGACATCCCGAGTTGGCGGTGGTGATGAGAACGACACATTGATTAGCGCCATAGAAATTGCGCTTCCAATGCCAGGTTGGGGTAATTTTAGTACGCCAGTTGCCCCTGTAAGTCCCCTTGTATTTCAGGGCTTCATTTAGTGGGTTCGGCAGGATTCCCCGGTCAAGATGTATAGCATCGGCGGCTAAGCCTCACGGTTAACGCGCTAGTTTCCGCTCCCATTTGTATCGCACAGAGGGCTAGTGCCAGGGTATAGCCAGCCCAGGACTCGAACCGACCGCATCCAAACGACAGATAATGATCCCTGACCAATTCACAAACTTCACCCGCCTAATCATTCAGATTGTGGAACGCACTCTCGGTGGTGCGGACTGTACGCGCAGCGTTAACTTGGTGTAATGTTCTATCATCATCCTCATCAGTCCCCCATCCCCCTCCCATAACACCTGCTTGAGCCCCAAAGTGTACGGCGTCTGTAGGTCATCACGACACAATTCCCTCCTCTCGTAGGACAGGACTGTCCAGTGAAAGCACGAGTCATGGGCGGGTTAGCGTAATGGTTAACGCGCTAGTTTCCGGAAAAGTCGAGTGCCTGGGACTCGAACCCGTCGTAGCTAGAGATTCCGAGTTCGAGTCTCGGGCCTGTCGTATCTTTTGCTAGCCGCTTTTGTTTCCCGATGAGAGATGTCATTAGTTGGGAGTGTGGCGCACGCACCGAGGGAATGCAAAACAGAAGATGTGCGCAATTTTCGTGAATGAAAACAAGGCAGGGTATGGGATATATATTCGAATCCTGTGGGAACGCAAGTTAAACGGCGACCACATTCGAATTTACAATTTGACGTCTTTGCTGAAACGATAGAAATAATCGAACAGATTGAAGACACCGCCAGTGGATAGGCCTTGATAATAGCGAAAAGTTGCCTGACAATTGCTGGATGGTCTGACTTCGATTATCACTAACTCTTCCTCACCCGAGAATGTCCCTTTGAGCCATCCAAAATGCCAACATGCAATCGCGCATAGACCCTTGGTCAGCTTAACATGGAGTGGTAATAGAGGCGCCATTCTCAAGTGATACGAATGCGATAGTGGTTTAGCTTACGCTTTTGATGTCTCTGAAGTGAAGATAATTCTAATGTTCGTCCTCGGTTGAGTCTTTTAGTCTATCCGGGGCTTCCTTTCTGAACATTTAATGCCAGCTTTATATCCATGCAGCCATTCCGAGGTCTCAGCGTGCCTCATTCGCGCCATCGTGCTCGTCCTCAAATCCTCCGCCCGTTATAAGTCAACTTCTATAACCAATTTCAGGGAGGCCTTCGGACGAACGCTAGGAGCTCCCCTGTAGGCTATGTTCTGCGAATTCGATTCCTTTTTATCAACTAAACTTTCGGATCGGTCTGCGTGTTAGCCAACAATTGAAGGCTATGTTTCCATCTACTTGAAGACACGATAGTCCATGTCCATACTAACCTCCTATTATGTCTGAGTAAGTATGGCCGCCTGGCGAAATGGCATCGCGTCTGACTACGATTTCGCGTGATCAGGAGATTGCAGGTTCGACCCCTGCGGTGGTCATCAGTCAAGCTTTTTGCTGTTATAGCCTTACCTCCCACCCCAGGCCATCCGCTTTGATCGTACAGGTGGTTTTAAAGGACGGACAGCTATTTGGGGGGAACATGTGTGTCGTTTATCCGACCGTTAACCGGCGTCGACGGGTTGGGTTTTTTCGACCTCGCGACCTTCCATTCATTTTTGTTTAAATCCTAGATGCATTGCAAATTTTTGGCGAGAGTTGCCTTTTGCGAGACACGGGTATCTGGGGTCTTGGCACAGTGGTAGCGCGCATGCTTCGCACTTCCCGTGTATGCATGAGGTCGTGAGTTCAATCCTCACAGTCTCCAGTTTTTCCTGCGCAAGACGGGCACATGCCACTCACTGATGAATTTTTATGTTAACCATCCTGCGAAAAAAAGTTCCGGGGATTGGACAATTATGGACTCAAGCTTTAATTCTGACTGTGTATGATAGTGTACGCAAGGGTTGACGCTAAAACTGCGGCATTGGATTTGTACTTGAATCCTGGAAATCGATCCCATAAATCTTCTGCAGGGCATCTAATCTCTCCCTAGCAGCGAACCAGCTTCGAGGCCAGTCCTTTCGCATAACATAGAGACGACTGAACACACGCTCTAGTTTTATTTCTCTGCACGCCTTACGCTCCCACTCCATGCGGGCCTCTATAGCATCTGCGAACACTACGAGGTTATCCACCCTGCATATGAAATCCCTCAGATGCGGGACCACTGCGCCACATGCGATGGCTTCCAGAATCTCTGTAGGCAAGGGGATCTCCACGATTAAATTCTCGGCGCTGGTTGCGGCAGATAAAAGGGAGTGCAGACTAGGTGCATCGATGGAATATCCAGAGAGCGTAATATTTCTGATGGAACATGCAGAGCGTTCGATCATGGAGGCTACAGGTGTGAGGTTGAATGAGGGGAGTGGTGGTGATTTGATGTGGAGATTTATATCGAGTAGGGCGGGGGTGTGGAGAAAGTCGAATATCCAAGTGTCTGAAAGCATATTGAGTGTTAGGGATGTTAAGTGAGGCATGACAAGCTTGCGGCCATTGGCATGCAAAGTCCCCTGTGTAGGGAGCGATGCAGTAAATGCCTGTAGACTACGGCATTACTTGAGTATTCGGCAAAATACGTGGCTGTCACCGGGACCGAAGTCAAGGCTTAAAAGGCTATTCCAAAAGGAAAAAGATTGCGGAGAGGAACATTTCTCAATGATTGCACAGACGCCCGTAGCGCTTAAGCCATTGGATGAGAGCTGCTTTATTTGCACCCATGGAACATCACACCACTGGAAAAAATTGCTACGTGTCTGCGCGAGCCTAAATCCGAAATTTCGAAGTTTTGGGGCTCGAAAAAAGGGCCATGGTAGAATGGGTTGGATGATGTTGGTATCCCAGGATTCATCCTCCCCAAAGGCCAGAAAAACAGACTCCATACTGGGCATATCATGGTTTGAGAGTAAATGCCATAACCTAGCGTATTCCGAGGCACCGGGAAGATCCAGAATTATCTCTTGGGTTTTTTGAAGCATGGACGCGATGGTTTCTGATTTGATAGATTCCGAGGGGACAAAGAAGTCGATGGAGTGCAAATTCAAGCATAGAGGGAGAGAAGAAGGAGCAAGCTCACATATACGAATGGCATCGCGGATGGTTTTGTTGTTTGATCTGACTATAAGGGGGGGCCAAAGCGATGCATCGCTGCGAGAGATTGACCGCCAGCGAGAGCACACACGGCCAAGGATCCAGGCTTGAACGTTTATATATTCAGTAGCCTCCCAGAACTCCGCGTTAAATGAACTGTAGGATAGGACGAGATAATGGAATATCTGAGAAAGTAACTCTGCGGGAAGTCGCGCCGCGATCGAAATTTCTTGCACGATGTTTGCGATTCCCTGATTAAACTCGGAAAGGCCACCAATATTCTCCTTCAGCAAGTTCAGATTTTCTGGTAAGATGTTGCCGTCGATATAGCTGTTGTATTTGTCGGTCTTGATGATTGGCACTTCGTCTGCGGGCATTGTCTGCGAACTAAAACATCATTTTGACATCTCTACAGTGTAGAAAAAACTCTACTCTAATGATCTCACCTCTGATTCAGTTCTGAGTTCCCTTGTGTTGAAGAGTGGCGTCAGTAACTCCAAGCAAGCATGAGAGCCGTACAGATGTTGGATGCAATCCTGACCAGTGACACCTACCCTGAAGCTTCGGTATTCGGAATTAGCATGCAACGACTTGGGTGACGTTAGCTCCTTGGCACACTCTCAGTCAAATTATCTCCAATTTCCTCCGGAAATTCTGTGCTGAAAGGGTAAAAACACAAAATAGCACACGAGAACATCGTCGAGCCTCGTGAGTGGTAATTTATGACACCCACCCTAACCCGCCTGCGCCCTCCTCAACAACGAACCGCGATGTCGATCACATTCGCTTGTTATTTTCCTGCAGAAAAGCCTCTTTTTATGGCTATTGAAATAGGTTCTAATGCGTGGGTCATGCAACTTTTGGAGGCGATTGAAGTAGAGCTCCACTCGCGAGGTCGGACAGATGTCAGGGTTGATAATCTCCGTCTTTTCAAGGTAAATTTCTTCTTTCTCTGGTAAACACCCGATTAACCCACAGCAGGCAGACGTTCCCACGGAACCCAAAGAGAGCCGGCAATCGCGTGCTCTCCGGTGGCTTCACGAGCAACCAGCCGATAGTCAGCTCGATGAAATGAAAAAGCTTTCATCCATCTTTCCCAATGGCCCTCGCGGATCCGACGACAAGCTGGATATCATCATTGCCGATGCGGAAGGTATGGCCTATCTGATCGTTCAATTCTATCTTGCTGACTTTGTGTCAGTTCTAGAGATGGTCGACGCATTGAGTGATCCGCATGTCGCTTATAACAAGAAGGTCAAGAATGGTGCGTGTTGTGCTGACATCTCATGGTTGCTTATGTCCTAATTTACATTTTAGCTCTCAACGAGTGCCTAGATACTCATTTATCCCTTCCTTCGCCATCAGAAGTAGTTAAGGACGCCCGCATGCTGGATAAGGTATTCGGCGGGAAAGAGCCTCGCATCCATGTAGGTCGGCCTGGCGGAGCCCCTGCCGTAATTTTCCACCCCGTCCTGGCCGCTTTGCAACAAAATCTCGACTATCTCGAACAAGTCGAAGTTTCTCCAGCAGAAGTTTCTCGTGCTGCTAACTACCTCCATTCCGCGGCCAAGTTTTACGAGGATAAGGATCAGCGTCAGGATGTTATCAAAGATTTAATCACTGACGCGTTGGGAGGGACTGGCAAGTGGAAACATACTATCAATTTGGATTCAGGTAGTACTGTCAGAGTGAAAGGAGAAAAGATCATACCCGACGCTTCCTGGTGGCACAATGTGTTTCTCATCCTGGTCCTTGAGCTGAAGAACTCGTTGGGCCTTTATGGGGATGCTCTTTTTCAAGCCGTTGTTGATTACAGCAAAATGGTTGCCGGAGACGAGGTTCGATGTCCCATATCTGCCACTTCGAACATCGCGCTTACCTTTGTTTGCAGTACAGACCCTTCCGGGAGTACAGCAATTTCCCAATTGTCCTCATAGGTGCCACTGCAAATCGCCTCGAAATTGCCGTCGCTGTTTTTGCAGGATCAACCTATGTGACCAAGTTACGCACTTTCGACTTCTCCTTGGGGTTTCATGCCTCCGATAATATTATCCGCCTGGCTCGTGTATTTGATGCTTTGTCGCGCTGTCGGGAAGGACTTGAAACCTATTACCGTACCATCATAAGCTCCCGACCTCCTACACTCTCCTGTATATTTCCCAACCCGACACCCCTCGATCCTTCCACGACATTACCTACCGGCAGTTTCTCTCACGAGCAGGCCAGCCGACCCTGGATCTTGTGGACTTGGGGGACGCTACCACTGCCATGTACATTGCCATCCTTGATGACCAGGAGGTTATCGTCAAATTTACCACACGTTACAACGAAGCGGCACATCGCCTTCTTGCCGACACTCAGCTTGCTCCGAGACTACATTTCTGTGGGCGTGTTGTCGGTGATCTATACATGATCGTTATGG